TAATCGAGTTTCCAAGTATTACACGGTTAAGTGGCGTCCCGGTCAGCGCGGCCGCCCTCCTAAACTACGCTTTCTACAAATCCAAGCATGTACAGCGTCTCAGGCGTGGCCCACCCCCTTCCTCGGACCATTGCAATGTTTGTTGTTGTGATGTAATTACGACTATTTCGGCGCGGCGCGCGATGTGCTGTCCATTTATATTTGCTGGACGTCGTCATTTGATTATGTGATGTCGCAATTTGCAGAGACTCCAAGACAGTTTCTGCAAAATGAGAGCGATTTAGTGCGACCTACCCCCATAATTCGCTACAGTATTTGTGCGAGCGACATCTGGGATGCTATATTTTCTGAAGGCTTCCATTGCAAACCGAATGGGTAATTTGCGCGCAAAGTGCATATCTATCTAGAACGGTACTATCTCATCACCTGGCATATTCGCTGTACAGGCTTATCGTCTTTGAGCTATTTTCATGTTGACTTCTATGAAAAGCGTCGTGCACATCAGGTGTTTTGTATGGCATTCTTCGTGCAAAACGATAGAAGAAATCCCAAAATGCAAAAGTACTAGGCATACAAAGCTGAAATATTCGTGCAATTTGCACAAAGCCTTTCAAACACCTAGAAACAAGCATTGTCGCCCCCACCTCACGGCGCTTGAGCACGTATTTTTTCTTAAAACAATGAAATAATTAAACTTAACCTCTTGGACGCGGAGCCTTGCAACACTGTCTTATGCTGTTCAGAGCAGCATAAGAAACACTTGATTTCACTATGGCTCGAAATCCGCAAACCATCATCTTCGACACTTCCCGTATTTAAAAGGATTTGATTGGTCCACGTTTTGAAATTAACTAGTTTTATTGGATTGCATTTACTGACGGATTGAAGTACCGAAGTACTGCGGGTAAGAGCCGGACTATATTTAAAAAAAATCAAATTTTGGTTCCCCTTTCGTGGTCACCGCTCATTCTTCATTCCGGGCCCCAACCAGGAAGATGGAGTGCGTCGTGGATTTCAAAGTTGTTTGGCCGCTACTGCGCAAGGATGGGTGGGCATGGAAGTCAGTAACAGGGCTACAGATCCAGTAAGTCTTATGAATTTTGCTCCATTTATTCGAACTAACTTTGATTATATATTGCTGTAGCTCTAACTATTTGAAGCCTGGCTGCAAGATTCGGGGCGGCAAGCAGGGAATGGACTTCTTCAACGGTGAAGATGCGCTCCTTGCGCACGTAAAGGCGGACAAGGGTCTGTGCGCCCGCCTCAATCTCTCCAACATCATGGTGCGTCCCAATGCAGTTCCACTCGGTAAGTGTATGTGCACTTCAAGCTTGTTTCGAGCTTTATGATGACATTTTGAACGTTTTCGGTGCGGCGCCTTTACCAGCTTCGGTCTCGAGTGCCCCAGGTACCCCGAGCAAGAGACAAGATCCTACAGACAGAAAACAGCCACTGAAAAAGCGTTCAAAGACGGTGGAGTCTCGCAAGTCTGCAGACAAGATGAGCGAAGATATGCAAACGCCCAATAAGAAGAAGAAAACGAAGAAGCAAGAAGCTAAGGAAGCCACAGAGCGACACCGCCAGTTGTCGTCGGTCACAAACATCTGGGGTGATGCCAATGCTCAAGGTATGTTGGTATGTTGTTGTGTGGTGTCTACAGTTGGCTATAACTTGGTGAATGTTTAGACAGGGACGACAGACAGGTTGAGGCTCCGAACCTCTATCCATCCGAGCAAGAGCACCGCGTTAATGTTGACACGGAAGGTATATACTGATTTATTTACGCTGACTTGAAAAGTTATGTTGACGCGGGTGTGTTCCTAATGGACAGACAGTGTTGACACCCCAAACGACGTTGACGGTCACTCTGGCGATGGCTCGGAAAGTGAATACGAAGACCCTCCAAACGCTGTTGAATCTGAAGGGGAACACGAAGAGGTTGCGCAGAATTTAGTAGCCGAATGTGATTATCGAGAGCATGATGAGGGTGAAGAGGACGCCGAAGACGCTTCGCTTTGGCATTCAGCTGTTGTAGAAACCCATTTTGAGCCCCTTTTATTTGACGATGCAGAGCCTAGTGATCCCAATCTCGTCTTCGGCGATGTCGAGAAGAGCATCGAGTCGAATGGAGAGGGTGAAGACTCTGTCGGGGTCGCAGATATGCTGGGCACAGACGATGAAGCCGAAGCTCTTGTTACTGAATCGGTTGTCGCCGAATCAAGCCGGGTCGCCGGCTTGTTGAACGAGGTCGAGCTGGAAAGGCTACATATGGCAGTGGAAGGTATGTTGAAATACGTTGTGTGTCCTGATGACAAAGTCAACTTATTAATCTGGATTTATGCTGACAGGGTCATCCGAAGTCTTTGACGACAACCGATTAGCTGATATGGCGGCTCGAGGCTAGACCGTGTAACCTAAAAATGAGATTGCGGATATTGTCGACGACCCGGACATGTACGAAGGTTACTGCGGACCGTCGAAATATGTCTTAGCATCGGCGAAATCACCACTGTCCCTGTTCTTGTACTTCATGCCGAGGGCATTCTGGAGGCACGTTGCGCGCGAGACACATCGTTATTGGGAGCAGACGTTTGACATTCGCCTGGAAAAGGCTGTCACGAAAGAGGCGCAAGTGACCCATCGACCACAAAAGAGTATAGACAAATTGCGTAGAGCGCTGGGGCGATTTGAGAGGATTGCGCCGCATGAAATTGTTCAATGGATTGATTTGATATTGTTGCACAGTTTGAACCCTCGTAAGCGTTTTGAAATGCACTGGTCTACAACGGAAGACGGCCTGATTCCTGATAGAACGTTCGGCAAAGTGATGTAACGAGATCTGTTTCAAGACATTGCGAGATTTCTCCATTTCTCGGACAATCAGGACGCTGCAGCAGCTCGTGGTCGTGCATGGAAAATCAGACATGTGTTGTCAAAGGTGGAGAAGACATTCAAAGAAGGCTACATTCTCGGCTTTCGCGTGGCTATTGACGAAGGTATGCTGCAACTAAGGAGCCGCCAGAATCCGACTCGTCAATATTTGAAGGATAATTCCCACAAATCGGGTACCAAGTGTGTGATGACGTGCTGTGCAGAATCAGAATACTGCAAAAGGTAAGTTGACGCTGTCAACTTTTACTCTCGAGGTGATGCTGACGTGTCATGGGTACGGCAACGTGTTAGAGTGAAAGTTGATATTGGCTGCAAAAACGACATCGAGGGTGCACAGTCAATGGATACAAAGAGCGGTCCAGCTGCGGTTGTACGAAATGTGGCGTATGTATTCTGGGGACTTCCATATTCGGGACGCCGTGTGGTAATTGTAGATCGCTTCTACACTTCGAATTCCCTGGCACAGCAGCTCCGTACCATGGGATTCGACTACGTAGGCACAATTCAGACAAATCGAGAAGGCTGGTGCAAAAGCGTTCAGTATCCGCTCAAGAAACGACCAGCCAGGTACAAGCGAGAATACTGGAGCTGTGGTGGAACGTAAGTAACTGGGCACGGGTGTGTTGTGGATTAATGTAGAGAGTGTAGACGTATCCGAGTGCAAAATATTCGCTACAGATGACGCGGGCTTCGCTTCCAGCTCAACGTGGGGACCGATTGGAACAACGAACCACGGCAGCCAAAACGCTAGGACTGCGAGACCAAGAAGCGCCAATAAAACCCCTTGGCGACTTGGTTTTCCACGCAGAAACGCCCGTTGATAGATGATCCACATTGCTGAAGCTTGGTCACTTGTAAGCTACCGCATAAAACTCGAAATGAATTCATCTCCCGACTTATTCCATCGAGTGCGTGAGCTGTACGTGTTCCCACCGCAAATGCAATTCGGGAGTTGATTACTGCTTTGTCTCAGTGTTAGCGTCCCGACATCAAGGATAGCACTCGCACCATCCATGATTGGCTGACCATATTGTGTTTTTCTTACTTTTAATACTTGTTTAGACAGTAAAATGTCTACTCGACTAGCCCTTCAACTCGATCCGCATAAACACTGTAACATCAGATTTACACAGTGTCCCATCGACGGTTATTGTCCGTTGCGCACCGCGCAGTAGTTGGTACAGTCGAGTTGGTTATGTGTGTCCGCTGTATTATAGGGGAGTGCGGTTGATCCGACCTGATCGCGGCCGTGGCACAACGCGCAATAGTGGATATAGTCGAGTTGGTTGTGTTTCTTGCTTCCTCGTCGCGAATTAATTTGTGAGAAGACTGGATTGCGGTCGGAAATAATAGCTCTTAGCCATTGGCTAATAGATGCTTTTATAGTCAATGGAATGGATCCGGTTATTTTGTGTCACCTGCATTTCGACGTGTGCTAGTACTAATTCGCCGATCGTAATTTGCGCGCGAAGTGCATATCTATCAAGAACTGTATTATCTCAACACCTCTCATATTTGCTGTAAAGGTCTATCGCATTTGAGCTATTCTCAGACATATGACATTTTGAGCTTTTCTACGGAAAACGTCGTGCAAAACAGGCATTGTGTATGGCATTCTTCGTGCAACACGAACGAAGAAGTCACAAATGCAAAAATATAGCATACATAGCTGATTTTCTCTTGTAATTTGCACGAAGCGTTTTAAACACCTAGAAAGAAGTATTGATATCCCCCATGGCGCTTTAGCACTTTATTTTTCTTAATAAAATAGTTATTAATATTATTAAGCTTAAAATTGGACAAGGTCTTGGTGCGTGCAGGCAATGTGGCGCCCAGAAGGTATTCACATTAAACGAATGTGAAGATCGCAAGCTTCCACTGCAAAGTACTGAAGAACGTGTCGGGAGTTAAACTGCGTGTGCGCAAACGTACCTGCTACCATATTTTGCATATAATCCCTAGCTGCAGTTAATGAATGTATCAGTAACTAATTCCGATCAACTTAGGTACTTTTTAAACGAAATCTATTTATTTATATATTAGCCGATTTGAGATGCTTAAAATGAAAAGAGTAAAGACCCTAGAGCAGTATCGGATAAACGCACACGTCAACAGGTAAGTAGGTTCGAGGACATGACCAACTGATCCCATCGCGTGACGATATGGCCGAACATAATAAAATGGCCTCGAGCCTGCTCTTTGCTCTCGAAACTTGCCAGACTGTCGAATACGACTTCGACACTCGAATCGTTTACCTCATTCAACGTCAGCGAGTAGCCTCCATCGTCAGTGATCCACTGAACATCGTCTTGGCCTGTCGATTCTACTTTGCGGCCACGAGCATTAGCCTTGGAGTCTCCGATGACGTAGTAGAACTTGAGCCTCCTCTTGCCTTCCACCACTTCAAGCCTGGCCCGCTCTATCAGACATAAATACCGGGCATTGACGCCGCCGTGAATGTTACGCACAAGCACGAGCTTATTCTCATTCAACACTTGCACCGTCTGGGTGTCGATCTCTGCCGTCACGTAGATATCTCTCGCTGTAGCCGTGAGGGGCCACTTACCTTCACCTTCCTCACTGGTCAAGCAGCCCACGAGGCTGTCGATCGAGCGGTCTATTCGCTTAATACATCGGACCTGGTCGCTTAGCCACTGCTTTCCAGGTGCAACAGCACCGTGGTAAACGTTCCATCCGAGATAAACCCCAACACACACTAACTCGGACGCCGTCCTTCCCGATTTCTCGTCATGGTGATGAAGGGCTTCGTCGAACTCTTGTTGTGAGAAGGGGAGGAAGAAAAACGCTTGGCTCATCGGGAAATGCACTCTGCAGCCGGCTTGTTGCTGGACTGGCTGCCACTTTGACTCAATACAACGCACTGTGACGTCGCTATGGACTTGGGTCGTGTCAGTGCTTAGTGTCGGAGCGATTGTTTTCGCTGCAGACTGAACGAATTGAGTAACCTTCCGGTGCTCTTTGAGCTTTTGATATAGCTGCACACTCTCTTCTCGGAGCCATTCACGCTCTAATACCAGCTGTTGCATTCGTTGCTGGACTTGAGTCGCTCTACTGTGACCGGTACAAACACCGTTTCGACGTAAGTGGGCCAGTCGCTGCTCCAGCTCTTGTTCAAGACGACGACACTCCTCTTCCATGCTCTTCTTCAGTATTGCACGACGTCCTCGGAAACGTAACATCCGCTGTACCGCCTTTCCGCATGGCTTTGAATCGTTCAAACTATAGATAGAGCTGGTGGGAATAGTACCACCAGACGTATGAGCGAGTGATGACGACATTGAAGAGCTGTTGTTGAGGGATACCGCAGGAAACGGAATGAGTGATTCTACAATAGCCGACAAGCAACGGACTGGCGATCCCATCGGAGTTGATTACCGTTTTGACCCAGCTTTAGCGTCCCGACATGAAGGATGGCACTCACACCATGCATGACTTGGCTGGCCATCTGGTGTTTTTCTTACTTTTAATACTTTTAAGGCATTAAAAGGTCTACTCGTGTTTTGCAATATTTTTTTAAATACCAAGTGAAGTGCGATATGGCTCCATTTATAGAAAACTAATATTTTTTCTAAACCCCATTGCATAACTTCTTATCGCAACAACTCGGTATATATTGTACAGTAGTATGCAACGGCACGCAGTTGGTACCTACGTTTGATTTCGGGATTGGGTGCGGCGATAGATGCTGAAGGAGAGGCAACATCACAACCTAAATCTTCAGCCAGAGTAATTGTAACGGGGTACGTAGCACTAAGTGTACCCTGGTTACATGAAGTGTGACACTTCACACTTCAGGAGTATGACATGTCATACTCCGGGATATTTGGTACAAGGTACCAAGGTCATTCAAAACCAACCATTGGTTAAATGACATTGCATTTCTATAGGTAACTGATAGTTTGTATTAACCACAAACTTAACCTACCTATAAATATACTCAGTTTACAATCTACCTTATTTAGGTCACTTCGCTCTCTTTAATTAAAGAGGGGACCTGTGAACTGCCGTTCACTGAGAGTTTGTATACTCTCGGAAGATAACTTCCTCTAGCGCAAGGTGCTGTGTGACCCCGTCACACTTGGTAGCACTTGTAGTCAATCCACGCCATCGCGGGTAGACTACCTGAACCTCCGAAGTTCGTTGCCATGGATAGGAACGACTTCTCCCATATGAACGACTCTCAGTTCGAGTCGGTTCGGAAGATGGCAGGCATCTTCGGGATGGAGGCCCTGCAGAGCCTGGTGGTATCAACACCGGCTGAGCAGCTCGAGCGCGTCAATGCATTCGACGCGTACGAGCAGGGCCTCATCGCGCATGTGCGGGAGAACCTGCAGGCTCCGGCGGCGGAAGCAAACCCGCCTCACCCGAAGCCAATACGGCTGAAGGTAAAGCCGTATGAAGGGAAGGAAGGCGAGAACCTTCACTTCTGGGTCCGAGAAGTAGAGCTCGCGATGGACGCGGCTCTGATCTCGACCGAGCAACTGCGTGTTGCTTTTGCACTCTCCAACCTTAGCGGTCGTGCTAAGAGTTGGGTGTACACTCGGGAAGCGACATCCCCTGGATGTTTCACATCCTGGGCTCAGCTGTGCGAACAGCTCCGAGCCGCGTTCCTCCCGGCGAACTACGAGTACCGCCAGCGTTCGCGCTTCCTCGCGTGTAAACAAGGAAGACGCGAACTGCACGAGTATGTGCAAGAGATACGGGAGCTCACGGCGTCCCTAGTGGGAAACCCACTCAATGAACACATCAAGATGACTGTGTTCATGGACGGCCTTCGAGTGGGCCCCGCACGCACTCAGCTGTTCCGGGTGCAGGCAAGCACCCTTGAAGAGGCGATTCAAGTGGCTCTTCAAGAAGAATACAGCCATCGCCAGGCGCGTACGCCGGCCTCAGCGTGGCCTGGGAGTTCCTTGTCGGCTCCCGGTCGAACAAGCCCCAACGGACCAGTTCCCATGGAACTCGGGTCCGCCGAACAGCGTGGCATCCGCTGCTTCGGCTGTGGGAAGATGGGCCACTTCAAGCGCGACTGTCCCGCGGAAAGACTCCGCAGACGGTCCTTCCCCAAGCCCGTCCTCAAGGGTCGCTGGCAGAAGCCAGGATCCCGGGGACAGGGGAACGCAGGGAACCAGTAGGGGCGGGGCGCCCTACTGGGGAAGAACTAAGTCTTCGTGATGGGTGCGCGGGTGGCGCGTACCACGGGGACTTAGCCCCTGAGAGTCTTCGCACTCTCGAATCGGCGAAGAGCAGCGGCGGGTCGCTCGTAGTACACGGATGTGTACGGGGGTACGATCACCCCTTTAGAATCTTGATTGACTCTGGGGCGTCGAAGAATTTCGCACGCCGCCAGACGGTTGCTCGTAACAGCAACAAGTTGTCCGAAGCTTTGCGAGAAAGCAAGGGCAACGGGACGGTGTCAGTGCGACTGGCCGACGGGAAGGTCGTCACTGTCCCCAACGTCCAAGTGGATCTGGCTGTCAAGTTTGAAGACTTTGACAGCCTCGAACAGTTCACTGTTCTCGATATGGATCCATATGATATGATCCTGGGCATGCCCTGGCTTGAGAAGCACGAGCCCTGGATCGACTGGCGAGGCAAGGCAATCGGTGCCAGCCGCCCTGCGCAGTCCGACAGAGCATTGGTGAGTCATGTTCCCACCTCTGTCAGGACCCGGGGCGCCCGCGAGGGCTGCCAGGGTACCAAAGCATCCGGCAGATGCTTGGGAGTCGTCGACGTATATGACGACTCCGAGGATGTTTTGATGGTGCCCGCGCCCAGAAGAGGCGCCGGCCAAGTGGGTAACTTAGGTCCACAGGCGGGTAACTTAGTTCCCGCAGACAGCTGCAGCTGTCATGAACACTGAGAACAGCGTGTTCAGAGTGGGTAACAGAGTTCCACTCACGGTCGCCCAGACCATAACTGAAGAGGAAGACGTCGGATACGCTTCCTGTGTGGGTAACACAGTGCCACACGCGGTCGCCCAGACCTTAACTGAAGAGGAAGGCGTTGAACACGCTTCCTGTGTGGGTACAACAGTACCACACGAGGCCACGAGTGCCTCGGATGTCGTAGCGACGACATCCCTAGACGTGGGCAGCAAAGCTCCCCGTCACAGAAGCCGTCGGCAAAGACGCCGCCGCCGCCTCAAGTCGGATCCGAACTTCGTTCCGATCGACGTCGCTTCAAGCGACTCGGAGTCCAGGGCCCGGGCTCCTCCGACAAGGCCGGTGGAAGAGTGCTATCACATCTTCGATAGCGAGACGGGTTTACCCGTCAAGGCATCTGGTGTCCACTTGGAACAGTTGCCAGAGGTTGCAGAGATACTGAACCTCGAGGAAATGACGGCTGAGTCTTTCCTGGCCAACCTCAAGGCTGGAGAGATCGCTGAGATGGTACTCATAAGACCTGAGACCACTCAGGAGGAGCTGAACTCCTCCTCTGTCTTGGACGAGAACGTCCTGGAAGACATGAACAAGCAGCGTCAGGCGCGCTTGGGTTCTGAGATTCTCAAGAACCCCAAGGATCCGGTGTATCCTTTGGTGACGGAGTATGCGGACGTGGTGAATAAACACCCACCGACCCAGCTCCCACCGGATCGAGGCGTACGGCACGAGATTGATCTCGTGCCCGGCACAAAGTATTGTGTCACGAGGCAATGGCCTCTCCCGCGCGAACAGTGCGAGGTCATTGATGCCTTCTTCGCCGCGAAAGCGAAGGCAGGCATGGTGCGGGAGTCGAAATCCCCGCACTCGACGCCGACTTTCTGCGTTCGTAAGCCGAACGGAAAGTGGCGTCTGGTTCACGCTTATAACAAGCTGAACAACGCAACGGTGCCGGCCCAAACACCGATCCCACGAAAGGATGTGTTGTTGAACAACATGGCCGGGAGCGTACTGTACAGTGCGCTGGATTTGGTAGACGGATACTACCAAATCCTGATGCGAGAGAGTGACATCCCGCTCACCGCGGTAAGCACTCCAAGCGGCATGCTTTGGGAGTGGCTCGTCATGCCGCAGGGCTTGTCTAACGCCCCGGCGACGTTCAATCGCCTGGTGACGCAATTGTTCCGCCCTTTGCGTACCTTCGTACAGACGTACTTCGACGACATTTTCGTCCATAGCCGTGCCGAGGGAGGCAAGACGGCCATGGAGGTGCATCTAGGACACCTCCGTCGAGTGTTGGACGTGATGCGAGCAAACAAGCTCTACACCAACATTGACAAGTGCGTGTTCGCGTCACCAGAGATTCAAGTTCTCGGTTGCTTCGTAAGCAACGTGGGCGTTCGGGCTGACCCAGACAAGGTCAAGGCCATAGCAGCATGGCCGACGCCCCGATCCCAGAAGGATCTTCGAAAGTGGTTGGGTTTGGCCAACTACCTTCACAAGTACAGCGCTGGGTACGCGGGCTTCGCTAAGCCTTTGTCGAGCCTCCTTCAGAAGGACGTCGACTGGCGCTGGGAGCAAGAGCACCAGGATGCTTTTGACAGCATCAAGGCCAGTCTCCAAGAGGCCCCTGTCCTGGCTCTGCCGGACGAGACGAAGCCGTTTAGCGTCGTCTGCGATGCCTCCGATTACGCCATCGGGTGTGCATTGCTGCAGGACGACACGGCTGGACAGGAACGAGTCATCTCATTCCAGTCCAGGCAGCTCAAAGCCGCCGAGCGGAACTACCCTGTCCATGACAAGGAGCTCCTGGCAATGAAATATGCCCTTGTGAAGTTCCGTGTTCACCTTCTGGGCTCTACGCCCTTTGTGATCTACACAGACCACGCGTCCTTGAGGACGGCGACTAACTCGCCTCACCTCTCCCAACGGATGGCGAGGTGGCTGTCCTTCTTCGCGGAATATAACTTCCGCGTCGAGTACAAGCCGGGCAAGCTCAACGTGCTTGCGGACGCCCTCTCTAGGCGTCCCGACTATGAGTTGGCCCACATCACGCGGGTGACAACGGATCTATATGATCGGATACGCATGGCGTATCGGGACGATGAGGCTGTCGCGCCTATCGTCAAGTTCCTTAAGGCCGGAACGAGCGCGAAGTCCGACTGGCTCTCGTCGCGACAGCGCTCACGGCTCCACCGATATGAGTTGAAGGAGGGCCT